GGAGGGATCAGCCTGAGCTGCCTCCAGGCTGAAGGTATCCGCAAACCCCATCTCCCAAACCAAGTAAAGCCCATGTAGAAAGTGGAATGCAGATAATAAATATCAAAGGAACGATGGCAATTCAATGGCATGGGCTAAATGGGCCGTTTGCTGCTTTTTTTTCCTTTTTTTTGTTTTACTTGTTTTAACTTTTTTCTTTTTTTTTCTTTTTTTTCCCTTTTTTTTTTTTGCTGCTTTAACTAAATGCAAACCTAATTTCGCATGAACCAACCCTTTCCCACTGTGACTTCTGGGGGTTTTTTGGTTTTTTTTTTTGGTTTTTTTTTTTTTTCTTTCAATAATAATCAACAAAAATGGGAAAATAAAATCCATTTTTGGCTGCTTTGGAAAATATATGAATCCCAGCAGCGGGTTTTGTTCCTCTGTGTGTGTTTGTGTGTGTCTGTGTGTGTGTGTTTTATTTTGCCTGTTTGTCCTAAGTTGCATTGACTGATGTGGAACATGCAGTATCCACCTGCCCAAACAACAGAAAATCCATTTTTTTTCCTTTTTTTTGTGTGTGTTTCAATGTTCGTCACAAGGGTCCTTTAACCAGGTGGTAGGGCACTGCCTTAGATGCAACGCTGTCACACAGGAAGCAGACTATGTTTGGTATAGGATCTTCAGGGAGGTGTCTCCACAGCTGTTCCGTATTATTTCGTCAAGTTTGTAAACAATCTTTTCACTCGCAAAGATTTGAATTTGTACAATTCCATTGTTTGTGTCTCAACACTTGGATTCCCTGACGTCTTTTGGTTTTTTCGCTCTTTCTCGCCTGCCTTCCTCCGCCCGTTGCTGTTTCTCCTTCTCGGGTTTGGTAACGCTGTCGTACGACGGGAGCGACGCGGTAGAGGGGGTGCCTTCTTTTTTCTCCCTGTTTGTTCCTCCGTTTTCCAGTTTTGTGGAGAGAGGCCTTCGGCTAATAAAGCCCCGCCTGGCTAAGCGAGCCCTGTAAGCCCTCTGGATAACCACCGCTGAAACTTCCTCCTGCTTACGCCGGAGCGTAGTCGTGATAGGCTCATAAGACACTTTGGAAGGGTTGGACGCCACGAACCGCTCCTCCATCTGTTGTCTCAGTATATCCAGCTCTCCGCTGTCCCCCAGGACCCGTTTGGTGAAGGCAAACAGGATGTCTAAACAGTGGATCCTGTCCCCACTTACCATAGGCAGGTCCATGGCAATGAGTTCGATGGTGTTGGGTTTTGGGACGCGGAGAGGATGCTCCAAAGCGTCAGCAAAGTCTGCGAGCTTGCTGTACTCTATGAACTGCGTGGCATCGGGGTCGAACTTCTCCCAGATCTCGTAGAAGGTCTCAAAGTCGTCCTCGCTTAGCGGATCTGCGCTCTCCTCCGTCGCCACGCTGAAGTTCTCCAGGATGATGGCAATGTACATGTTGACCACGATCAGGAAGGAGATGATGATGTAACTCACAAAGAAAAATATCCCCACCGAAGGGTTCCCACAATCCCCCTTAAAACCACTCCCAGGGTGCTCCTTGTCTAGGTCGCAGTCTGGCGGCCGGTTTAGGATTGGCAGCAGCAGGCCATCCCAACCAGCCGATGTGGTGATCTGGAACAAGCAGATCATGCTGTTGCCAAAGGTCTCAAAGTTGAACATATCATCGATGCCAGCCTCATGCTTGACGTAGGCAAAGTTTGACATGCCAAAGATGGAGAAGATGAACATGACCAAGAACAGCAAAAGGCCAATGTTGAACAAGGCAGGCAAGGACATCATTAAGGCAAAAAGCAAGGTGCGGATTCCTTTGGCTCCTTTGATCAAACGCAGGATACGTCCAATGCGAGCCAATCGGATGACTCGGAAGAGAGTGGGTGACACAAAATACTTCTCGATGATTTCGGCCAGGAACATTCCTAAAGAAGAAGAGAAGGGACAAGTGTGACAACGGAGACGTGCAGTCATCTGCTGCTTCTGAACCTAGTCAAGGGACTGGGCGCACACAACACCTTGGCCGGATTTTCAAAGGGGGGTCTGCGATTAAGAGGCCTCACCTTCAGGCAGCTAAGTCTTAGCTGTTTGCTCTGGCTCCCTAAGAGTTCTCCTAAATGGAGAGGGAGGGAGGCACGGCTGCCCAGGGAGGCGTTCCACCTGGATAAGGAGGGATGAGTTGGTTCTTGGAGGTGTCTAGCTCTTGGTGCCTAACTCTGCCATGGGACTTTATTTCGAAAGTGCTAAAAATACGCAAGGTAAATCTTATTTCTGGCAGCAGACAAGCCTGGATCTGAGTTTTACACCGCAGGATGGTCCCTAAGTGTTGGTGTTTTGTCAGTACGCCTGGGCAGAGCCGCATCCAGCCAAGCTTTCTGAGCGACCCCCTTGTATTTGTGAGGTTACGCGTATTTTACAGATTAGCGGCTAAAAGCCAAAAACCTGTTGGAGGAAACTGGTTGATTCAACATTCAACCAAAGCGAAAACAAGAGTGCAAATCACATGCTGATGTAGGAGCACTGCAGTGCTATTTTCAGTTGTTAGTAAGCATTTTAACATTCTGATGAGGTGAGTACGATTTCTGTTTTTAAAGACAGGGAGAGTAATCGTCAAGTGTTTTACTCCATACAACTGGAAATGAATGCCAGAACAGAGGGAGGAGGGTGCATTAGTCAGGACTTCAAGCTGCCAAATTCTGCCACAATCTCTTCACAAGGCTAAAAAGAGAACCTAGAGTCCTGGTACCCATACAGCCCCTTCAAAGACAAGAACGCGCTCTACCCTGCAAACACCAAGACAGCCTAGCGCTCACAGCCCTCGACCTAACTGGTGTCGCACTTACCCACGATGGACAGAATCACAACCACGAAGTCAAAAATGTTCCACCCGATGGTGAAATAATAGTGCCGCAAGGCGAACATCTTCAGCACACACTCACAGGTGAAGAAGATGACAAACACCAGGTTGATCCAGTAAAGGATGTCCTCCATCTGCTTGCTTTGCGTATCTGTCTCCACCATCATGGTCACCATGTTGAGGCAAATGAGCATCATGATGACTATATCAAATGCTTGCTGAGTGACAAAGTCAAAGACAGCTCCTTGAATGCGGTTCTGTGCAACAGGAGAGAGAGACAATGAACCAAACAAGTTTGAGCAAAAATGTAGCAGGAGTCAACAAATTATTTCACTGTCGGTGGAAACAGGGATGAGGACATAGGTTTTTCAGTATCTTATGAAGCTTTCATGGCAACCTGCAGCCACAACTCAATCCGTTTATGGGAAAGGTAGGAAAATGCTATTATTTCTACCCCAAACATGCGACCACAACCCCATGACCGGCGTATCTTCCTCTTTGCTAAAACCAAAGGCAGGGTGATGACCCTCCAGTCACGACTGGAGAAAGCAGCCAGGTCTACCTTGCAGCGGTGACGCTGACTGCAGGGCACCTGAGCTAGATTCCCACCCCCTCTTTTGCGTCCCGGCAGCAGTCTAGTTCTAGCAGGAGGCAGAGGAGCAGGATGCCTTATCCACGGCAGCATCTAAGGGACTTGCCCGATACCACGCGCAAAGCCTTTCGGGAAGCGGGGAAACGCACTTAGGTCTCGATCAGTGCAGCCCACAAAGCTGCCTCATTGTCCAAGATCCCGCTCGCTAATGCCAGGAGGCCTCCCGGCCATCTAGAGCCTCTCAGCTATAGAACTGGGTGCTCAGATTGTTTTGTTGAGTCAACATGGGAGGGACATGGGTTAGTGGTGGGATGGCAGGGTTAGGTTAAAGGTTGGACTCGATGATCTCAAAGGTCTTTTCCAACCAAAGTGATTCTATGATTCTATGATTCTAAGTGAGCCAACTGATTAACACCGACCACACCGTAGCATTTTAACCTTTCTCAGATGATACCTGAATTATAACGACAAGAACATGGTGGTGTGGAATCCATCAGGAGTTATAACAAAGGATGCTTTTGGAGCCGAAGCTCCTTTGAAAGTCTCCTCTGCAGGTTTTTTCCTTCAGTTCCCTTTATAACATACTCACCAGAGGTCGGGGAATAGGTTTTTGAGGCTTCTTTGAGCCCAGTTTTTTCATGGCGTTATAGTACTTCTTTTGTTCTTCCGTCATAAAAATATCTTGACCTCCAAAGTAAAGGGGCAAAAGGAAAACTGGTTACAATCAGCTCATACACCAGAAGGGAAAGGAATAACATCCTAGCTAAGTCATGAGGATACCTGCCATATGGGAAGTTGGTGGCAGCTATTTTAGACAGAAATAACTTGTACTAATAGCCAAGGCGTACCGAGCTTCCTTTAAAGAAAACTGAGGACTTTTCCTACAAATAACCTGTTTTATCCTTCCCCATCCCCTCCATCTCATTTGTGATAACAGGTAGCAGAGGTGTCAGGCCAGGAAGAAATTCTTTCCAGTGAGGGTGGTGAAACCCTGGCAGGGGTTGCCCAGAGAGGGGGTGGAGGCCCCATCCCTGGGAACATCCCAGGCCAGGTTGGACGGGGCTGTGAGCAACCTGGTCTGGTTCAAGGTGTCCCTGCTCCTGCGGGGGGGTTGGGCTGGGTGACCTCTAGGGGTCCCTTCCAACCCAAACCAGTCTATGATTCTATGATTTAGCAGGTTCTGCATACGTGCAAACCCTCAGCTTGGCTTACAGAGAAGAAAAGCAGTCTATGAGAGATGGAGGGAGAGGCAAGGAAGACCTCTTGTAGCCTGTATATCTTAGTCAAGGCAAAAAAAACCCCAGCAATGCAGGACAATGTAGTCTAAGGAAAATATCTGCTCTGAGTAGAGTTCTGCATAAAGCTTTGGGCTCCTCTCCTACTCCTGAGCCTGGTCAGCCAGTCCCAGTGGGGCTGGGTAGGGAGTGAGGCACTAAGAGTCACCGTGGTTCTGCAGCCCACAGCCCCAAGAGGGGAGGTTTGTGCCCCAGACTGAAGGCCCTTGGCCTTTATTTTGCAGAAAAACCCCATCAGCCCAAAGACTCAACATTCCTCTAACAAGCCTCAGCCCCCCCCCACTGATCAGCCAACGCAGATGACTTATCTTTTTCTTTTGTTGGTTGAAGTTGTCAATGATGACACCAATGAACAAGTTCAGGGTGAAAAAGGAGCCGAAGATAATGAAGATAACAAAATATATGTACATGTAAATGTTGTCCTCGTACTTGGGTTGCTCTTCTTGCTGAATGGGAGATGAGAAGAGAAATAAATGATGTTTCAAAGACATCATACGGATGCAGTCAAAACGAGACCGGTCATGCTCCTGAGTATTCCCATGTAAGGCAAGTCATGCTCTATAAAGCTGAAGTTATATATGGAAAAGCGCGTCCTCACACTCTTTAAAGTAAAGCAACAGTATACGCGTGCATACTGTGTGTATGTACCAGGAGGATGGCGATCTCATTTGCAGAAATATGGAACCGTTTAAACTGACTTTCACTGCAAATTAGGTCAGGGCCCGTAAAATACACAGCAGTTTGCAAATCACAAAGGCAATGATCATTTTCATGACAAGCGCTGTCAAAGTGAAGACACAAGTACAAGTCTTACGAGGAGCGGCTGGGGGAGCTGGGGGGGTTCAGCCTGGAGCAGAGGAGGCTGAGGGGAGCCCTCATCGCTCCCTACAACTGCCTGAGAGGAGGGGGGGGCCGGGGGGGTCGGGCTCTGCTCCCAGGGAAGGGGCGATGGGACGAGGGGCACCGGCCTCAAGTTGTGCCAGGGC